ACAAGCCTGCTAACTCAAACCCCACTGGTTTGACTCCGAGATAACACACTGACAATAAAGATGCTACAATTGGAATTTAATTAATTCTACTTATGCAAAACCATGGCAAAATTCAGCTCATTCATCCAGAGCTGGGTTTGTACAGTAACTTATTTTAGGAGCAAAGGGAAACAATTCTGAAAAAGCAGGGAAACGTCAGCTGAGCATTAAGATGCTTTTTACAAACCTTTTAAAGTCATAAATACAGGAATCATTTTAAGAGAGGTAATACGAGAAATACCATATCACTGGCATGAAAACAGCCTATTCCTCTTCTCCTTCACAAAAGAAAAAAAAAAATACTGTAATACTTCCTTCTCCATTTGAAGGGGGGGAGAAAAAATTCCTTTCCCACCTTCAGGAAGCAAACCCAAAGCAAGAGAGGGATACCTTATTTCTATGCACATCCAATTTCTCAAGCACCAAAAGGAAAAAGTTGTATTTTCACCATCTCTACGTCTTTTCCTCCCAGTCTACGAATACTGCTGTACCTGTGGCAGAGTCAGCTGAGCTCGGGGAGGGCAATGCTGCTCAACAACTCAGCTCTTGCACAAGCAGTGATCCAGTTACAAAAGCACCTCCCCAAAATCTGTACTAACCATATCGAAGGATGGCTCCGACCCAGCCTAGGTTAGCTCCTTTTTCACCCCATAACCCAAGTCTCCCAAACTCCCTCTGCTATCCCCGTTAATCTCTTTACAGATCACTTCTGTTTGATTGAGATACAGACTTCACAGGTGCAGCAGCTGCACTGGTGCTGCTGGTTTAATATCGCACAGTCCCTTTTCCAGACTAACCATACACAGCCTCACATCTAACCAGCTCTCTAATTTACAGAAAGCTTGTACGAGGAAACCTATTCAACCTAGAGCTCAAGGAGTTTGCAGCAATAACACTAAGCTCCTCCTAAGCCCAGTTACACTGGCAGTGCCGGACTTGATCTCAATTATTCCTGAAATCATGAAGCAGAGGCAGGGCTGGGTGTCAGGTATGTTCAGCTCTTCACTTGGCGTTATTGGGGATCACTGCAGCAGTGAGAACTTCTGCCTCGGAGCAGAGGCACGCGTACAAGCAGCAGCACTTTCAGGCCACAGCTGCTCCTCTCCCGACCAAACTGATCACGCTGTGCGCTTCCCGGCTCACGGGTCTGGCTCGACACACTCTCCAATTCCCTCCTGCAGAGGAAGCTGACACCTCCAGCCTTCACAGCTGCTCTGATCTTGAGGCTGCATTCGCCACCAGCTGACAGCAACGTGCCTCTGATATGCCTCTCACCCGCTGCTGTGATACACTCATTAGCAGAGCTCCCACAACCTGGACACAAGTGCTGGCAAACTTTTCCATTTACATGTTTCAGGGCTGCCATCCCTGTTATCTCTCCCATAACTTCCCACAGTCCCCAGCACATTAACTGGTAGTGGCTACGGGAGCCCCAAATCCACCACCTTCTCTTCACACAGCACTTCAGGCAAGTGATCCCATATTTCCATCCCAGCTCCAACTCCTGCTTCTTCTGAACTCCCTCCCCGCTGCCAGACCCAACCACAGCAGCTCTGACCTCTGCCCCAGGGGCTCTCCAGGACTTCCCCCTCCACCAGTACACACAGAGCAGCAGCAGCCCACAACCCCACAGCTCCCTAGCATGCCAAAGGATGGGGTAACAAGGAACAAGTCCCTCATGGCACAAGAGGCATCAGCAGCCCTGCTTCTCCATGCACACACCCCCTAACTCCCCCCCAGCCTCTCCAGTACGTGCACCCCTTTTCATCTCCCCCCCACTACTTACAGATCCAGCAGCAGCCCTGGCAGCCCCATCTCTGCACACACATCATGGCCATCCTCCCCTCCTGCTCCACGCGTAGGGCAGCAAAGGCCTCCACACACACAGACACCACACCGACAGCCTGAGCCTTGCTCCACATTCCCCACAACGTCCCTGTGTTCAGACCCTGCAGTGACCCTGACAGCCTCCCTCTCCCCGCCACCTCCCCACACCCTCCCTGACCCAACAGGACACCGGCACCCCCTTGTTGACCTTCGCACACGCAGCAGACCCCTACCAGCCTGTCATTCCTCCAGTCAGCATCACTGACCCAGCAAGCAACTGGGTATCACATCCTCCTACACCCCATATTCTGCAGGTACCAGCAGGTCACTTGCTCCCTCAGCACCTCCTCTGCAGGGACAACCCCGGGGGACAAATTGTAACTCCTCGAAACAAGGCCTGTGAGAAAATAGAGCCCAAGAGAGATAAGGGATGGGGCGGGGAGCGGAGACCCTCTGAGTGGAGGAATGTCTAGAACACTTTCAAGTAGCAAAACTATAGTCACAGGGTGGACAGTGTGGAGTTTGGAGCTGATAAGGCTGCCTGGATAGCAGAGGATGCAGCTGGAGATGGGAGCCCTGTGAAGGCTGGTTCTGCTCTGGTGCATCTCGTAGAGTTTCAAGGGCCATCCATCCTGTGAATGACCTTTGCTTCGTTATCCACAAAATGCATATGAAAGTTGACACCCCTGAACATGCTCATTACAAAATCATGCTAATTACATCATCCCATGAAGCACCTTACCCCTCCCCAAACATGGGATAGTAAGCGGGTTGACCTAGGGGACAGACCCAAAGAAAGTGTGTATAATCCTCTGAGGGGAGGAGTGAGGAGTGAAAGGGAGAAAGAAAAAAGAAGACATGAAGAAGGGAAGATGACGGATGCATCCCTGACGAACCCAGACCAGTGGTCTCTGTTCTCTCTATCTCTCTCCTTTCCTTTTTCCCCTTTTCCTTCACTACCATTAAGTAATGCAACGCATACTACATTGCTTGCCATAACTCATTACATACTTAGCCCATTATCGTGTATCCAGTTAGTACACTGTTGGAAGTTAATAAATGCCTGGACTTTGAGACTTGTCTCACCGTTGTCCACTCTGTTGGGGATTTACAAATCTAAGTCACTTGTCTCCCTCATCTGAACAGATGTGACAGGGACCCACAACTTCATCCTTTGTCGTACACCTGGGCCCAGCAGTGATAGTTGTTCCCCTTCCCATCCCATACACACATACTCCATACCCCTACACAACCCAGCCAGCAGTCCTCACACTGACACCCAGACCTCTCTTTTTTCTCTTTTCCCACTTGGTGTAAATTCACCCCTTCCATGCTCCCACCTCAGCATAGCCTCACCCCAAATCCAGCGAGGCCCTGGACATCCTGCCCCCCACCATCACTCCTAGCTCCTGCACGTGCCACCTCAGTGGCAGCACTGGCTAACTCCAGTCCCTCACATATCCAGACAAACCTCTTCCACTGCATCCAAATGAGGACACTCACACCTTGTGCCACATGCACTAAAACTATCCCCAGCCCCATCCCTCCCGTTCACCATACACATACTCCACACCTCCCACGTGCAGCCCCATCACCTTCCCACATCCCATGCACTACAGTTTCATGTCCCCCAAAACCACTCTAGTTCATCCCTGCCTTTGCACGCTGCAGCCCCGCATCCCCCATATACACATTCCCAGTCCCACAGTGCCATCGCTTTCCCTGTGCACACACATCCCCAGCCTGACGTATATGGCTCCAAGCTGCCCCGGTACATGTCAATCCCTGACCGCAGCCCCTCTGCCCACCCCCGTACATGTGCATCCCTGACACCAGGCACCACAGCCCCACATCGCCCCTATACACATCCATCCCTAACCCCTCACAGCACAGTACATGTGCATCCCCCGGCAGCACTAAAGCCCCACACCTCCCCTTGCACACATGCACCTTTAGCCCCACAAACCACTGCCCCCTTACACATATATACCCAACCCAGAGCACTCCAGCCCCAGCAATAGTTTCCAGCCACATCTCTCTCCCCATGCAGGTGACTCCACTCTCCCCCAGGCACACCTCTCGACCCGATGCACTGAAGCTCCATCTCTTCACTCCTTACACTCCTCCCACATCAGGGGTTAACACCTCCAGCCTCCCTGCCCCATACATTCAGCCCAAACCTTGCACCCTACAGCTTCAGCACTTCTTGTGCCCACATCCTGGACAGTACACACACATCCCTACCTGCAGTGGGCCCCCACAGCCTTCTCAGCATTCCCACCAGGGCACAGACCCTGACCCAGAGATGAACCAGGACAACACAGCAGCAGCATCACATCCTCTTATGCACACATCCCACCCAGCAAGACATCTGGCTGTCCCTTCTTCCCTCCCAGTACATCCCCCATCCCAGATCCACAACACCACAACTCCAGCAGCAAGGCTGACAGTCCCATCTTCCCCTTTTCCACACATGCACCCTAGAACCCTGCACACTGTAGCCAGAGAAAGGGGGGCAGCAGCCCCATCTCCCTACACTCCAGACCCACTGCCTCAGAGCTCCGTTTCTCCCAAGTCCACAGCCCACCTCTCCCTTGCACTAAGAAGTGCTCCATGGCTTCCCCCCTCATCCTCTCAGCCCCCTGCACTGCTCCACAGCCCAGCTCCCCTTCATACTCCCCCAGCTGGAGTACCCCCACAGGTCACCTCCCAACAGCCCCCCCCAGCCTGATCTCCCCCTTGCCCTCACTCCCTGCCAGAGACACTTCCCCATGCTCTCTCCCTACAGAACTGTCCCACGGGCCACCTCCCCATGCCCTCCCGCACTGCCCCACAGCCCACATCTCCAGGACTCTCCCTCTGAAAAGCACCCCCCCAGCACTGCCCTACAGCCTCCCACCCCACAACTACCCTCTCTATGCCTCCACAGTGCTACCCCCCAGCCTTTCTCCCCACAGCCTGCCCTCCCTCCGGCCCACAGCACTGCTCCGCCGCCTCCCTTCACAGAACGGCCAAAGCTGGTAGGGACTCATGGAGGTCACTTGGACCCTGTGCAGACGGCAACGACCACGTCCTCCGCCGCTGCCCCTCTCCCCACAGCGCTGCCCCCCACACCCGGCCCGACCCGCACTCACAGAGCTCGCAGTAGCGGTGGCAGCCCCGGCCCAGCCCCTGCAGGTACCGCTGCAGCACGTCGGTGAGGAGATCGCAGGCCGAGACCTGCACCGAGTCCCAGCCCAGCGCCTGGCAAATCTGCGCCACCGACACCCGCAGCAGCCACCGCGAGTAGGTCTCGCACATGCCGGCTCGGCTCGGCGCGGCGCCGCCCGCCCTGGGC